TTTTAATTTTTGTGTATTTGAATCTTTTTTTTTCTTTCTTGTGGTGTCGAGCCGAGTGAACGGGGCCCAGCCTTCAAGCAGCGACTGGGACTTCCCTTGGCTGACCCCCGAAGGTGTCGGCGTGTTAACGGGGAAGGCCCGCGGTCGATAGCTGGGCCAAGTACTGGTGGTTTAATGTTCGAGGGTGGACCTTTGCTCCACTTACTCTCTACATCAGTCAAGAGTTGTCAGAGAGGGCCTTTCGCGAGGAATCTCAATTTTTCGAGGGACCACAGCCTGCAGCACTCTCGAAGTGAAGAGTCCTCTTTGGGTCGGAAGTGAAGGGTCAAGTTGGGACCGTCACCTCCCGATGTGAAATCAAGAGTGCTTAGTTCTTTTCTGTTCCCCCCCCCCCCCCCCCCCCCCCTTCTTTTTTCGTCTTGCGTTGAAAGAAAAAGGTAAAAAAGTAGAATAATGGAAGTACTTTGAGAGTGTGCCCGATTAAGAGTGACTGGAGTGAGGTCTCGATTTCACACAAAAGCGAGTCTGACAGCTCTCTATTCACTCTATTCTGGACATGAATCGAATCGAGAGTTGTGGAGCGACACCCTGGGTTTGATTCTGATGAGATTGTTGTAGGTCAAATAGACACAACGATAAAACCGATATAGTTTTGAAGCTAATGATGAATATTGGAGAAAAACAAAATGTGAATACAGACATGCTGACAGTTGAGATGATGTCAAGATCCATCCAAACCGGTCTTGTTGTGTCAGGGTCCATGGTGAAACCCTGTCTGAAGACGAGACTAGAGAAGATTTGATGAAGGGTTACATGCAATGCCCGGAAATATGATATGACAGATAATGATAAAATGAGACTTTCCGACTGATTTCCTTTTCTCACAAGGAACAGTGGCTGAGATGCAGTGGGCTACCATATATAGTTGAGAGTGAAAACCAAGTCGAACTGCATCCAGTCCCACCAGCGACACGGAACACACCAAATCATGGCATCAAGGGAGACGTGATTATGCCGGAAATGCAATCGTAAACATGGGTGACAGAGGGCCAAGAAAGCAGAGGACAGAGAATATTGCTTGATCCCAAATACAAAATTAGACAAGACAAAGCTCCGGCATGAGCCACAGGACATTCTCCCTAGCATCGAGGACAACAAGCCTATATGACAAATCAGACTACGCCCAACCATAGCCTCTGACTGTCAAAAAGACCAAAGGAACCCAAACTTGAGCCACAACGAATCCGAATAGCCAAGTATCGAGGAGAGACGACGTTATGCCCAATCTCACAAGTTCAAAATCAAACCAGCCAAGCATATACCCCAAGACTGGACAAAACTGACAACGTCTTATTCATTCTTTTCTGCACACTACTGTGGCGCTTCATAACACCCTCCGGCGCTTAGTCTTTCTCCGTGACTGGCAGACATAACAGAGGAGCGGTTGCCCTGATAAGCCCACGGCCTGTTAAAAACCTTGACAAGGCATTGTCATTGATCGTCCAAGACAGAATGTCTGCCGATGGCGGCACAATAAGTTTGGTGACAGTATATCAGTGCCCGCAATCAATGATGCCACATCTTTTCCAAGTGCAATCCTTCATGAAGCATCCAAGCACTCGAGGCAAACAACCCCTCAATTCCCTACCTTTGCATGCTTGAAGAGAGAGCTTGAATTTCACTCTCCACCCCACAAATCTGCTGAAAGACCGAACTAAACGTAAATGTCCTGACTAGAATCCAGTTTTCAAGTGCCATTTTGCATCACAAAACAGATTAGCACATGAAGCAAATACGAGTTAGAGTCTGTTAGACTCATACAAAACCGACAGCTCGGGCTTTCACTCTCGATGGACTCTCTGGCATGGTGACCGCAGCAGCTACTTCTCCCTCCCAGGATCAGGCATTTCTGTGAGACTCCCTTGCTTCTTGCCACTTATCGCTTCCCAGACTTCTTTCGCCGGTTCCTGGCACTCGCTGCCGCTGCTGAAGCATTAACGTTAGCAGCTGTGCTTTTGCCTGCGCCATCTGCTGCCACTGACCCTGCTGTTGTGGCAGCCTTCTCCTTCTCTTTCTCCTTATCTCTCTCCTCTGCAGCAGCTGCCATTGATGGAGCAGCACCCTGGCTTCCTTTCATTGCTGCAATATTCTTATGCTTCCTCTCTGTATTGCAGACACGGATCAGAACGGCATTTTCCACAATGTTAGCACCCAGAAGAAGCAGAAAAGAACAAATGAAAACAACAGATGCCAGTTCCTTTTTCGGAGTGAAAAGCAGCAGACACTCCCCTTATAGTAAATGAGGGTCATTCCAGCTCCAAGTGTCCTCCAGGAGGTAAATGAGGGTGCATGAGAATTTCAACAAGGGTTCAAAGCGTCACTCGACCAGTGCGACTTGTGTTGTAGAGAAAATGTGCCATTACCAAATGGTCACCTTCGCTGCCTCACAAGGTGATTCTAGTCTGCTTTTGGTTGGCATCATAGCTTCAATCTTTTGCTCTCACACATCATATGCTCAATCTTTTGCTGCCTCGCAAGGTGATTCTTGTCTGTTTTTGCCAGGAATTCTTGAAGACATTATTTTCAATCCCATCTTACCATCTTACCTTGCTGTCACAAATCCTTCCCTATCCCTGCCCATCATAGGTGGTAAGAAAAGAGAGGTCCTCCCATGGCCCCAATAAGTGCCCACACAGGTAGAAACAGTGTGTTGCGACCATACAAACTCCCTTTATAGGGTACATACAATAGGCGGGAAGCATGGAGTGGAAAGGCGGGGGAGAGCGAAGCATTTGAGAGGACAATGTGGGCATCAACGATTTATGGTCTCCTTCACACTTGCTATTCTTCATCGCACCCTCTGACCTTTGATCCCCTGTTCGTCCATGCATGGTGTACAAGAGCACAGTAGTGTCTCATCTATGTGGGAATTCCATTCCATTCTCCCCTAGGTCTTCGTTCACAAATGTTCTCGTTCTGTCCCCATTTATGTACTTCCATTTTCCTTCCTGCTCTAGCACTCCCCATTTACATCGGTGCACTCTTCCCGGTCGGTTCCAGTGCCTAGCAGGCTAAGCTGGCGTCACTGTGACGCCACGCATGCAATTTAACACATCTATTCCAGAAGTGAATTCAGCCACTCCACTGCTCCCGCATGAATCATGGCTGTTGTTACATGACCATGGCTGAGACCAGTTCTGCATATTCGGCACACTGAGATCAGTTCCAGGCCTTGCGGTCTGCCTGGCGCATCTAGCGACTTCGGCTCTCAGGAGCTGAACTGCGGCCTATAACTGCTGTGGATACCTTCCAAAATAAGAATGCATGGGGAGTGGGAAATGCTCAGGTGCAAGAAGACTCAGAGAGACAGACACCAGTATAATTGCACACAATGGCTCTAAAACACTGTGCAAAAGAAGACAATCCATTCACAGCAGCTGGCATTGACACAGCATAGCAATACCCTCGCCGACAACTTGACTGCAATAACCAACATCCATAACACGACATTTACAATTTGCCTGTAGACGGACGCGGGGATATGCGGAACGCAGACGTGACAACAACGAGACAAACCAAAACCCCTTTGGTGCATCGGCAGCCCTGCTTCTAGCATGAAAGGGAACCAGTGCAATGCAGTGGAACTATGCTGGGAAATACAATAAGCATTGCAGCAGTCGAGACTTTTGAAGTCTCGTAAAGTCGTCATTGCAGCAGTGAAGAATTTTGAAGTCTAGGAAGGTCATAGCAGGACTGGTGAAAGGTCGTAGAAGACATATGGGCAGCCAGCACCGTCCGTGGATTGGACCTTCGTACCCCAGAGCACTCCATTTATTTTGTAAGGTGTGAATACGATGCGACGAGGCACCACTCACTCATTGACACATCGATTCTTGGACGGTCGTAGCAGGGCCAATGAAGGGTCGTAGAGGACATGCACACCCAACACCATAGGACTACTGCTTGACATGACAGAGAGCTCACACTTTCACACAACAATCGGGACAGGGAAAAGGTTGTGTGGTACTCACTGGACTTGAAGGAAGACCGTTCTCTTTTCGGTAGCCATCGCTCTGGGTCAGGAGGCGGCCCAGGATTTGCAGGGTCAAAGCCTTTAGGATAAAGTGGCTTCTTCTTCTTCTTCTTCTTCTTTTTAATCTTCTTCTCCATGGCGTTTTCTCCATCTGTTGCTCCACGCTTTTGCCTGCAGGGAAGCCATGTGAAAAACCGCCCACGTCACCACTGTCGTTAGAGAACAATAACATCATAATAAACAAAACAATAAGGACTAACCTTTGTCAAATTTGAAACCTCGACAAACTTAAAAAAAATAATAATAAAAAATTTGAAACCTTGACAAACTTCAAAAGAACGGAACACGGTGTCCTTGCTGTTAGGCTGAATGGCTACCATCTTCACCCGAATAGAACGCCTGGTAATTATCGCGGTATCTGGGCTGAAAGTTGTGCCAAATACAGCTATAACGATCGGGCGTTCTATTCGCGGGTGAAGGCGGTAGTACAAATGACCACCCGTCAGAGTGTCGAGAGTTCGAAAGGAAGCCAAGAAGATCTTTTAGGCTAGAAAACTTCAGACTCACCCTAATGCGTCAGTGCTCAAACCATCTGCCGCAGCTGTCTTCTTCTCACGACGTACGGTAGCTAGAGTGCCAGCTGCACTGACCGTCCGCTCTAGAGCAGACACATCCACCGAGCTCAGCCCAGGCAGCGGTGGTAATGGCAGCTTCGCTGCAAACGTGAAATAAGCCCAGCGCAGGTCAAGGAAGCAAAACCATAGACAATAGGGACTGTGGAGAACATGTTTCCGCGTCACATTCACATTCCTTTCCAACGTACTGCTGTCCGAGTGATTGCAAAACACAAGAATCTGGATCCCAATGCAACAAACAAACAGGAACTCAGAACGCACACTTCTTTTTCCCTTCCTTCTCAGTGGGAGGCAGCCCTGCCGCCTGCCAGACACCACTATGTCTCAGTGCCCAAATCAATTTTTCAGAGAATTTAGAAAAGGCAAAAACAAAAACAAAAACATAAACACTTGTTGAAATCAGAATGGCGACGAGAAACATTCATGGGCAAGGGTCAACCTCAAAACTCCTTGCACCATCACACATAAAGAACAAAAACAGAAATAGAAAGACCCCATATTTTCAGCCATGATAATTTAGTTAAATTTACCTCTTTACACACCACTTTCCTCTTCCTTGACACCCATTCAGACCCCATATTTGACCCCACAAACACTTTCTGAAACAAGTTTGCATTTGCTCCATTTGATAATCCAGGGATTCCAGGCAACCTGATAGGTCCAAGAAGGATTTGAATTTGAACTCTTTCATCTAGTGATCAGTGTCATGCGTAGACTATTCAGCCACCGGCAGATGAAACTGACAAAGCACACTGGACGGGTTTGGAAAAGGATATTTCTCTGCTGCCTCCGGATCGAAGTGTGCTGTGCTCACAACGAGTCCATGCACTGCGCTAGCCCGGATTGACGGCGACTTGCTCTTCAGGAGCTGTTCAAAAAGAACAGCTGCAGCCTTGTGTCGTCCATGACCGAGCTTAAACCTTGCGGCCGCATGCGTAATCGCCTCCACCACTGACTTATTATCACCCTGCCAACAAAAGACCGCCGTAAATTCGGGTTACAAATCCAAAAACTCAAAAGACAAAAAAGAGGAAGGAGACATCATATGATATGCAAACATGCAAGAACAAGCAAGCCCATCCCGAAACAAAGATGAAGCAACACATTAATGATTTCTGGAAAAACGAGATGACCTGTTGCAGCTTCGGCCCCGAACAGGAGGGGGAAAAAAGAACAAAAAAAAAAGAAAAGAAATAAGCAGACACAGGAGAAGTTCGTCATGAACTAACGTTTTGTATGCTTCATATTGTCTATCCTAACATTATGGTACTACATTTCTTTTGCCTTGTACAACTCTCTTCCTCCTCTTCCTCCTTTCCCTCCTCCTCCTTCCTTGTCCATGCAGTCAAAATAACATTGAATGCCAGCAACTTCTTGAAACAGTGTGACTAGCATCTTCTCTCTCTCTCTCTCTCTCTCTCTCTCTCTCTCTCTCTCTCTCTCTCTCTCTCTCTCT